TTTCAATCACTTCATATGCATATGAAAACTAGACAATGAATAAGGAAGACCAAAGAAGAGTTGATGCCTTTGAACTGTGGTATTAGTGAAGGATGCTGAAAATACAATGGACTGCCAGAACAAATCTGTCCTGGAAGAAGTGCAGCTGGAATGCTCCTTTGAAGCAAAAACGGCCAGACTTTGTCCCACCTACTCTGATTATGTTGTCAGAAGGACCATTTCCTGGAGAAGGATACCATGCTTAGTAAAGTAGAGGGTCAGTGAAAAAAGGGAAGAGCCTCAACAAGATGGACTGACACAGTGGCTGCAATGATGGACTCAAGCATGGCAAGGATTGTGAGGATGGCACAAGACTGAGTAGTGTTTTGCTCTATTGTACACAGGGTCACTATGTGTTGTAGTCAACTTGATGGCACCTAACAGCAACAGAGGGTTTATGTCCTTTCACCATACTTATTCAATCTCTTTGCTGAGCAAATAATCTGAGAAGCTGGATTATGTGAAGAAGAATGTGGCATCAGGATTGGAGGAAGACTCATTAACAACCTGAAATGTGCAGTTAACACAATCTTGCTTGCAGAAAGTGAAGAAGACTTAAGCATTTACTGATGTCAAAGACTACAGCCTTCCATATGGATGACACCTTAACATACAAAAAACAAAAATACTTACAACTGGACCAGTAAGCAACATCATGATAAATGGAGAAAAGAAGTTGTCAAGGATTTCATTTTACTTAGAGACACAATCAACACTTAGGGAAGCTCCAGTTAAGAAATCAAACAATGTATTGCACTGGGTATACTGTCAGCAAAAAACCTCTTTAAAGTGTTAAGGAGCAAAGATTTCACTTTGAAGTGTGTCTGACCCAAGCCATGGTATTTTCAATAGCCTCTTATGCATGTGAGAGCTGGACAATGAATAAGGAAGACCAAAGAAGAATTGATGCATTTGAATTGTGGTGTTGGCGAAGAATATGGAATATAACATGGACTATGAAGAATGAACAAATCTGTCTTTCAGGAAGTATGGCTAGAAAGGTCCTTAGAAATAAGAATGGCCAGACATTATCTCCCATACTTTGGTCATGTTGTCAGAAGAAAACAAACCCCAGAAAAGGATATCATGCTCGGTAAAGCAGAAGGTCAGCAAAAAAGGGGAACACACTCAATGAGATGGATTGATATAATGGCTGTGATGGGCTCAAGCACAGCAATGATTGTGAGGACAGCATGGGACCAGGCAGTGTTTCATTCTGTTGTATGTAGGGTTGCTAAAAATATGAGAAGAGTAACAACAATATCAACAATAATTCCAGTAACAAAATCAGTGGGATGCAGTCATGGGGAAAACACTGATGAGAAGACAGAATGACTAATTTAAGTGGTGACTTTTTCTATGAGTTTATGTGCCTCGACAAGAGAAAGATAGTTTTACCATCCCTGGTTGGTCCAAATGGTTACCATACTTGGCTGCTACCTGAACGCTGGAAGTTTGAATTAATTGAGAGATGCCTCAGAAGAAAAGGCTGGTGATCTACTTTTGAAAAATCAGCCATTGAAAACACTATGGAACACAGTTTTACTCTGACACATTGGCCATCATGAGTTGGAATGACAACAGCAACTGCTTTTGGGCTTTCGTTAGCCAAATTGCAAACAGGTAATCCAAATATCCTGATTCTGTTAATAAAATATTTATTTTTATGTATTTATAATCTGGCCAGTTAAAAAAGTGTTTTCCAGTGGTGTATACAATAAATCTGAATTAAAAATGTGGGTAAAAAGAAAAGATATTAATATACAAAATGCATGGTGATCCTACTGTATAAAAATATGCAACTAGTATTTAATGCAAAGCTAAGACTATTAGGACTGCAGCTCTAACTGAAGTACTTATGTCAAATAGTCAATATATCTTTAGGTGTAGTGAGAGTAGTTTATAAATCCAAGCAACAATCTTCAAAATAGGACTTCTAGATAAATGTTTAATGACTAAAGTTTAGCTAAGTTTCAGTCTATAAAGTCACACATTATTATTTTTTAGTATCTATTAAATAAAATATATTTCTCTTTACTTATTTTAGAAACATTCTTGATTTAAAAACTGACTGAAATTTACAACTTTTCAAAAAACACTTTATAATATTATTATGCAACTAACAGTACAATATGTGATAGCACATGATTAAAACAGAAACACACATCACCACCTTGTCCAAAATCCACAATGAGTATTTAATATTTTCTGCTCATTCCTTTTAAGAAACTGCATGTGGGATAAGACAGAAGACTTACTCAGTGAACTGTACCTCCAGCAACGAGGCTTGTTTTGCAATACCTAAGTCATTTCTAGAATATGCCACTTTCATAGTACACTGATATAGAAAGTCTTAGTAAAACCAAACTAGCTGTTAATATTCCTTTTGCATTTAAAGTGAAGGAGACTTAGCTAAGTCACACAAAACCATACTGACCTACACAAACATGGGTCAGTGCTGTGGACTAAAAACATCTTTGAATACCTTCATTCTTTTTCTGGGCTACTACTCTCTGCCTCTAACCTAAATCATAGTCACCTGCCTTCTCTCAACCACTATATTCTACTTTAGTAACTCAAGTAGCTCTTGAAATTCTCCTTTCTTCCAAGAAGTTCCCCTTGACTTGTTGGAAAAGGATTCCTTGAACCACCTCATTTGGGCATGGGGATTTTATGTCCCTATCTCTCCATTCTTGGGCCACAGAAGCATTTAACATGCTCCTATGTTGCTAGAGGGTGTAGTCCTCTGCCATTTATATGCTTTGCTGAAGCTGGAGAGCAGAAAACATGTTCAGCTGGGAGGAAGAGCTGTGAGTGTGAATTAATGAGACACGAAGTCAGACACCTACCAAGTTGAGCCCTGACCTGGTCACTTATCAACCTCATAATCGGAGATAAGTTACTAACCTCTAAGTCCCAATTTCCTCATCTGGGGAAAGGTTCATGGATATAGGCTACCTAGCTCATGAAGTTGTCAAAAGGTTGTCACGAGGATTAAATAAGATAATTTGGCACATGGTAACCAAGGGCAAAACCAAACCTATTGCCATCCAGTCAATTCTGACTCCTACAGGACTGAGTAGAACTGCCTCATAAAGTTTCCAAGGCTGTAAATATTTACAGAAGTAGACTGCCATGTCTTTCTCCCACGAAGCAGCTGCTGGGTTCGAATCACTGATCCTTTGGTTAGCAGGAGAGTGTTTAACTAGTATGCCACCAGGGCTCCTAGGTCATGGTAAGTCCCTGAAAAATAGGGATTAGGGCACCTGAAAGATGCTTTCTGCCACTAATCAGGCAAACACAGGGCAAACGTAAATTTAAATGTTTGAGTGGTAAAACTTGACATAAAATACTAATAAAAATATTTTGAAATAAAGATGCTTGGAGAAAAAGTCAACTAAATTATATCTTACACTGAAGACAGAGCCTTTATTGGCTGAATGCTCTGAACTAGATATTGAAAATAACACAAACATTCAGGATCCCAGTTTTGTTGTTGACCTCATAGCCATGTTAGATTTCAGTGGTTAACATACTTAAGAGAGACACAGTCCCTCTATTGCATAGCATGCCTTATCAAAAACATTTATAAAAGATTAAACTTTCTTTTCCAATTACTATGATTTCCTCACATACATCAATGAACAAACACAACAGCATTTGATTACACAGAATAAAAATACAGTAAGGATGGCTTCACTGTGCTCTAAAATTACTTGTACTGTTAAACACATTCACTTCAGTATAAAAAAGGGGATTCTATGGCACCCACAGAAGTCTGAAAACTTGACAAGCAGACTACAAATAGAGAATTGCTCAATTTTCTGAAGCATATGGTATGACAGTATTAGGTGAGGGAAAGTCATGTTGTGAGGTCATGGTGACCTGGGCTGACTCTAGGAAGACATAGTCAGTGGTGGATAGAGGACACATGGCACATGGCTCAGCTGCAGCTTGTGCTGCACAGTGATGAGGTGCTTCCTTCTAATCTTAGAAAATGCAGGTGGTACAGGTTAGCATTCTCTTAGCTACTGAGTAACATACTCCAAAGGGTAAGAAGTGGTAGAGAGAAAACAAACTGTTGGGGTAAGGAGCCAGAAGATGTGCAAGGGACTGTAATGGATAGGGTATGAGCCATCAGTGCCAATGGTTGAATTGCTCTTTAGCCAACACTGGAGACTGTAGCCATCACAATAAAGCAGTTACATGCAATATTAAGGTCCTCAGGAACAGGTAAACACATTAACAAGACTTTAGTTACATAAAGCAAATGAAGAGTGATGTGAAAACAAAAATTACTGAGAAGATGCATAATGTTCACCATTGTGAAAATAAAAATCAGACAAATGGAAATTCATGGCTATCTGGACAACCAATAATCTACCCCAAATACATCATTTTTAATGCAGATCACAAATTTTTGTATAAATCTACTTGAATTAGGAAACTTAGAGCAGTTTGCATAAACATAAAATAAAGTTTTAAGTGCTACTGCACAGTTTAGGACAGTTAAAGCCCCAAAGATGCCTAAATGTAATTTCCCAAGTCTCTATTTACCAATATCTCCATGTGTCTTGGAAGCTGCTGACAGGAAAAGTCCTCGATTGGAGACACTGAGAAATGCTGCTGTACACAGACAACAAAGGCCATCTCAAAACACTCCTTGCACAGTACTTACTCCTCATGCCACATAGAGCTAAGAGAAGCATAGGGTGTGAAACGTGGTTCAAATAGTCATACAGGGCCCAATCCAATAGAGATTACAAAGCCAGTACTGCTTGGCCATTTCAACAAACATCATTTTGGTTACAAGAAAACACATACCACATTTTTCTAAGTTACCAATTGGGAAAAAAAGAAAAACTACAATCCCAGTGTTTTATACACAATATCCTCAGGGAATTTAGGGATGTTAAGTTTTATTATTATTATCTTTTAGACTGCTCTCATTTTGCAGGTAATTATGTTTTCATCATGGTTGAAGAAGTAGCTTGGAAACAGGTGAGCTGCAAGTGCATACTACTCTTGAACTTGTTCAGAAGTTCTTCCAGTAACCTGCAAAGGAGGAGAGATTACTTTACAGCCTGACAGAATGAAGGCTGCCTACGAACATAAGAAAACATTCAGTGGAACCAATTACTCAGTCCTGACTTTGCCTTGATGTTTTCACAAGGTAGCTGAAATGTTTACTATTTATCAAATCTTAGCTTAGCAACAGAAGTCAATCAATCTCCCTCATGTCTCTTAACTGCAGATTAATTAGGTTCCTCCTTAAAACAAACTTTCTAATGTTCGAGCATATTTTTGCTTTTTAATTGCCATTTCAAAAAGTTATATATACTAAAATTCACTCTTTTTGGTGTACAAGTCTATGAATGTTGACAAACAACTATAGTAGTGGAATGAAAATCAAGAAATGGAACAGTTACAACACCCCCCAAAATTCCATTGTGCTGCCCTTTGTAGTCAACATTTCCCTCAAGCCCTAGCTTCCAGCACCGAGTAACCACTGATCTATTTTCTCTTGCTTTAATTTTATATTTTTGTCTTTAACAAATATTAGAGAGTGGTGAATTAAATTAGCATATTAGGGACCCAAAGAATCAGGGTTAGTTCTAACTCCACTGTGCAGATCATTCTACTACTTGATAGCTCAAGTGTTCCCCAATTGATATGATATAGTCATATGCTAGAGTAGAAGGCAAGAAGAGTCCACATGGGGCAGATGAAGCACCAAGAACTGGGCTCCAACTACATTAACATGCCTCATCTGAAGATAAAAGTCTGGTGCTGTTTTGGCAGTCATTTTTTCGGGACCTTCTATGTGTCAGGCACAGCACCTCAAAAAAAAAATTATGGGCCATACATATTATTTATTACATTCAAAAGATTATGTCATAATCTAACAATGCTCAGTATTAGAACACTGTAAAATAATAGTGATTATTTTAATCTTTTATCATCTTTATTTTAAAGACATGAACAAGGTTTGGAAGCAAGTCAGAGAGATTGAATTTAGTGAAAAGAGAACAAAGCAAGTAAATGGAAGAAAGGGTTGTAGGTATGGGCCTTGTTTATATATCCATTCATCTGCTCATTAGGAACAAAGACAAGGACTACACTAGGTACATGCAAATAAAACTATCTGCTACCTACTATTCAACACTTTGTCCAAGCCTCATTCCTATGTGCTATTTCCTAGTCATCATCACAACCTGGCCGATTGTGATCTCTCTTCCTTCTGAGTGTCTACAACATTCACCTTTGCTATGTCCCTATTCCAGCACAAACTTGAAACTGTCTAACTCCATTAATTATCTTCTTTAGAAGTGTGTTTATCATTTCTCTAACAAGACCACTCACTGTTTGAGGACTAGGATCATGTCTGATATGTCTTGAATCCTTCACAGAACCCAGCACAGTAGTTGTCATATAGCAAGGACACCATAGTACTTGTGTGTTGACTGATCCACCAGATGAAAGGTGGGTGGGCTCAGCTGATGATGTTGATTGGACAAAGGTCTACAATGCCTCTGTGTTTTGGGGAGGGCAGGTTGGTACTCATGACATCTGCTGGTCTAGACTTCCTCAGGTCAGAATTTCCATGACATGCAGCAGTGAGTGGCCAAGGTTAAACTCAGGTTGCATCATTAATGCAGTACTAATGAAATACATACAATTTTACTATGCTATATATACAAATCTTATTATTTTTAAATACTTTATATTTTCTAGAGCACAAACTATCATTTTACATTGTTAGCTACTCCATGAGGAAAAAAACAAAGCACAGATCCTGGATTTTACTAAGATGTTTTCTTTTATACAAATCTAGATATTCTCTTCTTAAAAACAAACAAATGATATAATTTACTGTGTGAGTGAAAATAAGCTTTCTTATGACTTTTTCACTATTACTTAAAACAAGAAAGGAGCTTAGTACTTAATCATAATAAACCCAGAAGAAAGGTTTTACCTTATGTTGTCACCTGACACTCTCCCAGGCAAAGTAAAGTTAACAGAACACACACAAACTATTAAGGGCTATTAAGTAATGCTTGTGTTTAAATCCAAATCATTAAAAAATTCTAAAAAGGGTACTTTTGGATAATAAAAGTTACCTAATGGATTCTGAGGACCTCTGGTAGCATAGTGCCTAAGGCACTTGCCTGCTAACCAGAAGGCTGGTGGTTCAAACCCACTAGCCACTCCTCAGAAGGAAGGTTGGGCAATCTACTTTTGTAGTGATACCACCTCGGAAACCAAAGGAGGAGTCGCTATGAGTCAGGTCTGAATCAGTGGCACATAATAACAACAACAACAATGGATTCTGAGAAGAAAACACAGAACTTACTTTTTATCTGCTCCACTTGAGAGTTGAGGCAGGACTTCCAAAGCTTGTTTAAAACTAGACCTGGACATAAACATTAACATGAAGGCTGAAGCATTTCATACTTCTAAGGAAATTTAGAGGATTATTAGACAATTCTTTAGCATATCTTACATATAAAAACCAAAATGAGCCAGTGAATCAAGTGGAAATATAAGAAAAAGTAAAAGTGGAAACAACAGAAAAGTAAAAGTAAGGGCAGTTACCAGATGGAAGCTTTGTAACAGAGTCAGAAAAAATAGAGTAGGAAACGAAACATAACTTGAAAAGCTAAGGAGAAATTGATTAGAGAAAGGGTACTACTCATGATAGATGAGAGCTTACTGTGATAGTTAATTAAGAAAAAAGTCTTTCTTTTCAACAAATGTTGTTAGGTGCTGTTGAGTTGTCTCTGACTCAAAGTAACCCTATGCACAGCAGAACAAAACACTGCCTGGTCTTGAGCCAGCTCCATGATTCTTGCTGTACTTGCTATACTCGAGCCCATCACCACTGCCACCATGTTACTGCATCTTGTTGAGGGCCTTTCTCCCTTTCGTTGACCCTCCACCTTACCAAGCATGATGATCTTCTCCAGAGAATGGTCCCTTCTGACAACATGACCAAAGTAGGTGAGATGAAGTCTTGCCACTCTCACCTCCAAGGAGCATTCTGGCTGCACCTCCTCCAGGACAGATCTGTTAGTTCTTTTAGCAGTCCATGGTACTTTCAGCATTCTTCACCAATACTACAGCTCAAAAGCATGCATTCTTCTTTGGTCTACCTTATTCATTGTCCAGCTCTCACATGCATATGAGGTGATTGAAAATACCACGGCTTGTGTCAGGCACACCTTAGTCCTCAAGGAGACACCTTTGCTCTTCAGCACTTGAAAGAGGTCCTTTGCAGTTGATTCGCCCAGTGCTATACCTCGTGTGATGTCCTGACTGCTGCTTCCATTGGTGTCAGTTGTAGAACCAAACAATGTGAAGTCTTTGACAATTTCAATCTTTTCTCCATTTATCGTGATGGACCAGTTGTGAGGATTTTTGTTTTCTTTATATTGAGATGTAATCCATAGTGCAGATTGTATTCTTCAATATTCATCAGTAAGTACTTCAAGTCATCCTCACACCACATTCTTCTTCATGTAATCCAACTTCTTGGATTATTTACTCAGCATAGAATGAGTAAGTGTGGTGAAAGGATACAACCCAGACACACTCCCTTCTTGACTGTAAACCATGCAGTGTTCCCTTTTTTTGTTTGAACAACAGCCCCCTGGTCTATGTACAGGTTCCTCATGAGTACAATTATGTGTTCTGGAATTCCTATTCTTCTCAATGTTATCCACAATTTGTTATGATCCACACAATCAAGTGCTTTTGCATAATCAATAAAACACAAATAAACATCTTTCTGGTATTCTTTGCTTTGAGCCAAGATCCATCTGACAATAGTAATGATATCCCTCATTCCACGTCCTCTTCTGAATCCAGTTTATATTACTGGAATTTCTCTGTCAATATACTGCTGCAACCATTTTTGCGTTATCTTCAGTAAGATTTTACTTGCATGTGATATTAATGATATTGTTTGATAATTTCCACATTCTGTGGGATCACCTTTTTCTGGAATGGGTACAAATATGGATCTCTTCCAGTGAGTTGGCCAGGTAGCTGTCTTCCAAATCTCAAGGTGATCCAAATCCCAAGTGAGTGCCTCCAGTGGGGCATCTGTTTGCTGAAACATTTCAGTGGGTATTCTGTCAATTCCTTGAGCCTTGTTATTCGCTAATTCTTTCAGTGCAGCTTTGACTTCTTCCTTCAATACCATTGGTTGTTGAACATATGCCACCTCCTGAAATGGATGAAGATAGACCAGCTTTTTTGGTACAGTGACTCTGTGTATTCCTTCCATCTTCTTTTGATGCTTCCTGCATCATTCAATATTTTGCCCATAGAATCTCTCAATATTGCAACTCAAGGCTTAATTTTTTTCCTCAGTTCTTTCAGCTTGAGAAATGCCAAGTGGGTTCTTCTCTTTTGGTTTTCTAACTCCAGGTCTTTGCACATTTCATTATAGTAATTGGCTTTGTCTTCTCAAGCTCCTCTTTTAAATCTTCTGTTCAGCTTTTTATCTTGTCATTTCTTCCATTTGCTTTAGCTACTCTCTGCTCAAGGGCAAGTTTCAGAGTCTCTTCTGACATCCATTTTGGTCTTTTCTTTCTTTCTCATATTTTTAACGACCTCTTGCTTTCTTCATGGGTGATGCTCTTGATGTTATCCCACAATTCTTCTGGTTTTTGTTAACTGGTGTTCAATGCATCAAATCTATTCTTTAGATGGTCTCTAAATTCAGAGGGATATATTCAAGGTTGTATTTTTGGCTCTCCTGGACTTGTTTTAATTGTCTTCAACTTCAAGTTGAACCTGCATATGGGAAGTTGATGGTCTGTTCCACAATCAGCTCTTGGCCTGGTTTTGGCTGAAGATATTGAGCTTTTCCATTACCTCTTGCCACAGATGTAGTCAATCTGATTCCTGTGTACTCCATCTGGTGAAGTCCACTTGCATAGCCACCCTTTGTGTTGTTGAAAAAAGGTATTTGCAATGAATAAGTCATTGATCTTGTAAAATTCTGTCACGCAATCTCCAGCATTATTTCTGTCACCAATGCCAAATTTTCTAACTACTGGCGATTCTTGTTTCCAACTTCTGCATTCTAATCACCAGTGATAAGCCACACATCTTGATTGCTTGCTTGGTCAATTTCAGACTGCAGAAATTGATAAAAATGTTCAATTCCTCATCTTTTTCTTTGGTGGTTGGTGCATAAATTTGAATAATAGTAGTATTAATGGCTCTTCCTTGTAGATGTATGGATATTATCCTATCACTGACATCACTGTACTTCAGGAAAGGTCTTGAAACATCCTTTGTGATGATGAATGCCACGCCATTCCTCTTCGATTTGTCATTCCCGGCATAGTAGATCATATGGTTGTCTGATTCAAAATGCCCCAAACCCGTTCATTTCAGCTTACTAATGCCTAGGATATCAATCTGTATGTGTTTCATTTCATTTTTGACAACTTCCAATTTTCCTAGATTCATACTTCGTACATTCCATGTTCTGATTATTAATGGATGTTTGCAGTTGTTTCTCCTCAATTTGAGTCGTGCCACCTCAGCACATGGAATTCCGAAAAGATGCACATCATCCATATCATTAAGGTTGGTTCTACTCTGATGAAGTAGTTCTTTCTCAGTCCTGTTTTGAGTGCCTTCCAACCCAAGGGGCTCATCTTCCTGCACTGTGTTGGACAATGTTTCCAATGTATTCATAAAGTTGCCCAGTAATGTATCAGACAGTGTTTCTCTGTTATTCATATTTCAACAAATACTATAGCCAAAACAAGCTGAAAAGGTTAAGATTAAGTGGAAACAGGGACATATCTCCACCATCTTTTTTGTTTCATGCATACTTCTTCTTAATTAAGCAAAAGAAATGTGATGCTATTGTCCGTTATTTTTCCATCAATAATTTATTTCATCATCAATGGTAAGAATGACAATGATGAAGAGGATGTCACCACTCATTTGTAGTGAACTGATATTAAGAAAGTGACTTTACACATTTCTCATTTAATTCCTCACAGAATTTATCTGTAAGACCAAGATTTATCTAGCTTTGCCTAGAAGGTATAATTACCTTCCTTTTACAGATAAGGAACTTAAGTTCAGAAAGGTTAACTTAGTGGTGGAAAAAAAATAAGGCACTTACACAAAGTATACATACACATCAAATATGGACCTTATGTTATCTATCTTATGTACATTATGGAGAAATGTGATGGTTGGGAAAAGATGGGGTTAAATAACTAACATGGTAGACATCTAGAAAATCACTTCTGGTTACCCATGGTGAACAAGAAAGAGAAGCTAACTTCATTGGTTAGGAAAAGCATAAGAATTCGTTTCCACTGTAATGACAGAATGATGGCATGAACCGGGTCATCAAATGCTGGAAGTGAATGAATATGTATATTGCACTAAGAGTCCTTAAAGATTTTATGTGTATACTCCTTGGTTTCTCAGGCACAGTAAAAACATAACCCAGTATTTCCTAGGTAATATTGCCAATGTATAGTAAATAGTGCTGTTTTAGTTCACCTACTGATATTTTTATGATAGGAAATCCTGACTTTCATTCAAAGGAGCCAAAAATTAACAAGTTTCCACTACAAAATTTTGTAGACAAACCACAAGGCTTCCTCTTATGCTGATATTTACAACACTTAATCTGTCCAATCAGACTCTGCTATGGACTCAATTCTGCTTTTATCCTTTTTTTTAAGGAAGTACATGTTTGCTACATCATTTATGAGACTAAGATTTATCAGTTGTGAATGAAAAATATGGCATATTAAACTTCTTTCCTTTTTATTGTGCTAGAAAGAAGCAGTCTTGAAAGTTCTTGGCTAATTGTGAGTTTATGTTAAAAAACTGATTAATCATTATAAACTTTATCACATATCAGATAATCATGAAAATTTATTCTGATTAATTATTTTTACAAATAATGTTATACAATACAACAAGACCACTTAGCATCTTACTTGCTTTCAGGTGTCAGGTAAATGGCCACAGTATCCCTTAAGGCACAGATTTCAAGTCTTGCCTAAAGAATAGAAAAGGACAAAAGTGACAATTGGAAAATGCTTTCATTATCAAATAAAAACAAGAGTGTGGTTTAGCCTTGGCAGAGCCCAACAAGTGCAGGACTTTAATCGGCATTGAGTCACCACCATGGTGACAATTAATTATGCATAGGCTCTCTAAAGCAGCCTAAAGAAATAGGTAATGGCGAAATATTCTTTTACTTAAAATTAATATGCAGTCAAGTGTGTAACTGTGTGAAGTTAAGGGAGCTAGATGTCTTCTTATGAAAGGTACAAATGTGGAATGATTTTCCAGTAGTCTGCATTTATTATTCAACAAGTAATTTTTTTCTAGTCTGGTAGTGAAAGGAAGGGGCCTCTTAAACACTGCCCTGTGTTAATTCCCTCTCCCACAGCCAATCCTCTGGTTGGCTTATTTCCTTACACTTACAACTGTACAGGGACACAGACTCTAATCTCAAAAGCAAACCTAAAGTTCTACAGATACAACACCACAGCTATCAATTTAATAGCTGGCTTTTTTGTAGAGTAAAAAGTCAATCCTAAAATGTACGCAGAAATGAAAGGGACTCAGGATAGTCAAAACAATCTTGAAAAAGAACAACAAAGAAGGTCGACTCATACTATGCAATGAAGATAGTACAGTACTGGCATATGGATAGACCAAATCAATGGAACAAAATTAAATCCTCAAATCTGTGGTCAAGGGTGCCTGTTACAGATTGAATTGTGTTCCTCAAAAATGTGTGTTATAAATCCTAACCTCTATGTCTGTGGTTATAATCTCATTTGGGAATGAGTTCTCTTTATACTAATGATACAGGATTAGTGTACGGTATGTCTTAAGTCAATTTCTTTTGGCATATAAAAGAGTTTAACCAAGCAAGTGAAAGAAGCAGAGATGTGGGAATAGATACCAAGTCACATGAAGATTGCTCAGGAGCAGGAGCTCAAAGAGACAAGGACATTCCTCCAGAGCTGGAAGAGAGAGACCCTGGTCCTAGAGCTGGCACTCTGAATTTGTATTTCTAGCCTCCTAAACTGTGAAAAAATAAATTTCTGTTTGCTCAAGTCATTGACTTGTTGTATTTCTGTGATAGTGAAAAAACAAAAAACAATAAACAACCCAAACCCACTGCCATGAAATCAATTCTGACTTCTAGTGACTCCCATTAGATTCCCAAGGTGGTAAATCTTTACAGAAGTAGATTGCCCCATCCTCCTTCCAGAGAGTGGCTGGTGGGTTTGAACTGCCAACTTTCTGGTTAGCAGTCAAATGCCTTAGGCACTGTGCCAACAGCACTAGATAACTAAAATAGTGCCAAAATAACTAAATGGGAAAAGAACAGCCTTTCAACAATGGTGTTGGAAGCACTGGATATCCACACATGAAAGAATAAAGTTCTATCCCCTGCTTAACACAAAAAATAACTCAAAATGGGTCACAGACCTAAATGTAAGAGATGAAACTTTCTCTCAGAAAAAAAAAAAAAAAAAGAGTAAATCTTTGTGATCATGGGCTGAACAAAGTTTTCTTAAAAAAGACACCAAACCACAAATAATAAAAGAAAAAATAATTTGGATGTCATCAAAATTAAAACTTGCTATGATGCAGAAGTTACCACGAAGAAAATGAAAAGACAACCTACAGAATGTGAGATAAATTTTGCAAATGATGTATCTGATAAGTGACTTGTATCCAAAATATATAAAGACCTCTTATAACTTAATAAAAAGATAAATAATTCAATTTAAAAATGAACAAAGGAACTGAATAGATAGTATATCAAGGAAGATATACAATTATCTAATAAACACATGATAATGTATTGCACATTATTAGTCATTGTTGTTGTTGTTTGTTGCTGCTGAGTAGATTTCAACTCATGGTGACCCCATGTGTGCAGAGTAGGTTTTTCAAGTCTGTGACCTATAGGAAGCAGCAGATCACCAGGCCTGTCTTCCAAGTCACTGCTGTATGTATTCAAAGCACCAAACTTTGTTTGCTAGAAACTAGTGCTTAACCATTTGCACCAAGTACTCCTCATTAATTATGAGGGAAATGTAAATCAAAACCAAAATAAGATACTACTTCAACCACTACAACGGCTATAATCAAAAAGAAAGACAATAGGACAGACTTCCACACTAACATGGCAGTGTAAGGAGCTATACACTCATGTCCCTGACAAAACACACACACACACACAAACACATACACACACACACAAAACCCCAGCAGAAACTGACAGAAACAACTTTGTCAGAACTATGAAAGTCAGTCAAAGCAACTGAGTGAATGTTGAATCAAGAAAAAGGCAATGTCAAACTGTAGAAAACTTTGCTTTTTTTATATGCTGGACCTCACCCTTCCCTGGCTTAATGTTGTCTTAAAGGTGTGAAAACAAAACAAAACAAAACAAACTTTACTGCTGTCGAGTTGGTTCCAACTCATAGCAGCCCTCCTGGGGTTTTTGAGGCAGTATCTCTACACAAGTAGATTGCCCAGTCTTCCTTCCGAGGAGTGGCTGGTGGGTTTGAACCACCAGCCTTCTGGTTAGCAGTCAAATGCCTTAGGCACTATGTCACCACAGCATTCCCAAAGAGGGAGTCTAGTCTGACTCCAGAGGTAGAACAGAAATCTTATTCACAAATTATTATGTGTTTCTCTCTGTTCTAACCTGTCTGGGGTGGAGGTGGCATGACAGACTAAAGCAAGATGTTCACCTTGGTTTCACCTGTCTCAGAACTAACTCAGGGCAGAAAGGTGGTGTACAATGCCCAAAAGATGTAACGTCCTGGGGCCAAATAAGAATGCAATGAAGGCATACCATAAATACCTAAAAACTAAAAGGAGAAGGTAGGGAGACAGTTTCTTTGGGAAATTAGGGCTTTCAAAAGTACTATGTATTTGGCTGCAATGATGTACTCAAGTACAGCAAGGATTATGAGGGTGGTACAGGACTGGGCAGTATTTCGTTCTGTCATATGCAGCATCAGTATGAATTAGAGCTGACACAATGGCACCTAACAACAACATGTATTTGGAAAACTGAGAAAGCCACATGTATGCTCAGGACAAGAGGCATGCTTAGAAAATACCTGAGAACAACCTATACTTTCACCTCAGACTGAAACTAAGGTGTACTTTTACTTCATGCTGAACTTGAAATGTACATGTGCTCAGTGTACATGTGGTTCAGTGCTGAAGGAGGGTCTGGCACACACAATTTTCAAGGACTACAAGAAGTGTTTACCCCCTTGAAGTAAATAACTGTGAAAATAACACTAGCTGAACACAAGGTAAAAAGTAGACTTCAATGTTCACACATGACCAGAGAAGTAGTCTTTGCAAAATTATTAAGGGGAATTCACTAAGCAAGTAGACTGTAACTGCAAAAATATAAACTAACAAATAAGCAAACAAATCAATGAATAACTAGCCAATCCTGGGGAAAGGAGAAATTATAATAGTCACATGACTCATTCTCAACAAAAAATCACTTACATTCAAAGAAACCAAAAAGAACAGGTCATTCAAAAAACAAAATAAAATAACAGAAGCCTCCAAGTGGAAGTCAAAAAAAAGAAAAAGAAAACAAAACTTACTAAACAAAGACTTTGAAGTAAAAGCATCAAACATACTCAAAGAACTAAGGGAAGTACTGGCCAAAAAACTACAGAAAATCAGGAAAATGATACACAAACAAAAGAAGAATATTAATAATGGGATCAGATTATAAAAAGGAACCAAACATAAAAAATAGAGCTGAAAAGTACAACTAAACAATAATGCATAGAAAACTGGAACCTAACTTGTCGTGTAAATGATCCACCAAAACACAATAAAATACTATTAAGAAAAAAAGTACACCTATTCCTCATTTGGAGCTCTGGTAGCATAGTGGCTAAAGCACTTGACTGCTAACCAGAAGGCTGGCGGTTCAAACCCACCAGCCACTCCTCGGAAGGAAGGTTGGGCAATCCTACTTCCGTAGTGATACTGCCTCGGAAACCCAAGGAGGGGTCGCTATGAGTCAGGGGCGACTCGACGGCACATAACAACAACAACGACATTCCTCATTTACCAACTACCTTGTTATCTGATAATATTATGATAATAATAAAAAGATCTACTTCCGACTATTTTGTGCATTAATGACATGTATATGTGTCCACTTGGCTGGGCCATGATGTTCAGTGGTGCAGTGTAGTAAATTACTTAGTATGGCTTTTCATTGTAAACTCAGTGGTGGAATGAGCAACTGGGGAGCTCCCGATTGTAAATGTTATCTACCTGGGTTATTTCTGTTGGGCGTGGCACAATGCAATGTAATGGGAGGCTCACTCTCAGGTGCTTAGAATTCTATTGTTATGATTGGTTGGTTTGGCCACTCTGCCAAGCTCAAAAGGAGGCCTCCTAGAGGCAGAACTCTCTCTGACTGCTGGTTGAGGAAGATGTGCTACTGAAAGAGACACATGCTCCTGAAAGAGACACGTGCTGCTGGGAAAGAGACGCAAGAGACACGCATTGCTGAGTAAGACACCGAGGGACATGCACTGCTGGGGGAGAGACTGTGAGAGACTTGGCTGAGAGATGGTGGGCTGGGAGAGAGACTGAGCATTCTTCCTGAACTTGAATCGTAGCCTGGTGCTTCCCTAATAAACCCCGTAATCTGTGAGTTCTGTGTGGCCACTGCAGTGAATTGTCGAACCTAGGAGAGAGGGGGTGGGTGCTTTGGGAGGAACAGTTGGTGAAAGAGCTGGAGGGAGGCAGCATGTCTGGCCTTATAGGAATAGGCCTTGGGTTATTGATGGTGGATCTGTCTTTCTCTTGTGGGATTAGAGGAGGTCCGAACATGTGGCCTCCCTGGCCTTTTTGCAGTTGGATAAGCAGTTATGTATTGATGTAATTTGGCAGCTATGTAATGATGCAGTCATCCTCCACTTTTGCATAACACCAATTTTCTCATAATGACCTTGTCTTTGCAATCTTTCC